TTTCAACCAAGACAAAAAGCCACTACTGCATGGACTCTTGTACAGAAGAGCTAGCTATTCCTGACTTAAATTAAAGAGATTGTGTCTGCCATAATAGAAGAACAACTTTTGAAATGGATTAATCGATCACTTGATACACACCTGTAGTCTGCTTATACAGTTGAAATACTAAATTTGGCTGACTGTCCACCCTGGCCTCCGGTACCCTCTCCTTGGTATTTGAAGATTCTGGGACAGACCTGGGAGTGTTAAACAGCATAAGGTGACAATACCTCCCCCTGGCAGCCTCTGCTCCTTTCACGAGCAGAAACAGTGAGTGCTGCTGAAACAAAGGTGTTCGCAGGCCCTTAGCAGGAGTCATTGTCGCCCAGTGATGCTCTCAAAAATGAGAAACAGACCTTTAGAAGTGGGGGGAAAAGCAAGAAAAACCGCTTGAATAAAAATCTAGGAGACTTCTGTATGTAGTATGGTGTTTTGTAAGCTAAATGCATATTAACATATGAATTTTGTATTTATGTGTGGGTTTTGGGGACCTGATGTACAGAAACAATTAAATAAAGTGTAAGATACATACTGGATATAATGCATGGGTCTTTTTTAATGCCTGTGTTATTTTACTGCATCTTTTTTGTGTGAAATAGGATATATGAGTCTTTTTTCATGTTGTACAGTTATATCTGCTTGTTCTACTGGAGGTAATATTTTAGATTTGTTAGTCTGTCTGTTCAAAGGTTCATAATCAAGAATAAAGGTATCTCCAAACTATAACTTGGTAAGTAGGATATCTGACAATGGTCGTAGTTTTTAGAATGCATTTTCAACACTTTTCACAATGGTTTCTTTCACTTTGTTTTGGAGTAAATTTAACACTTTTATGCTACAGTAAGGTGAATTAATGTGAAAAAAAAATTTGAGATTGGTGTTTCTCTAATATTTTGTTAAGCAGATCTAGTAATGAGACAGAATGTGAGTAAAATCAATTGCCAAGCCTGCCAGTTTACGAAGACTTGAAATGGAATGAGTTTTATATGTAAGCTAATTGAGTACCTAAGCACTTACTCCAGGTGTGGATCAGTTTGTTTTTGCTGTTCTGTCTAAACAAATGTGATGTGCATTGGTTCTGTTGGAATAGAATGAAAGAGTATTTAGCAGTGGGACAAGGTTCAAACGCTAAAGGAAATCCTCTGCTTTTTGTCAAAGAGGCCTTGTTGGTATAGTAAACTGGACTAGATATTCTGCTTTTTCTTGGAATTTACTTTTATCTTTGCTTTTCCCATAAGAGAGAGGCACAAGAGACGTCTACAGATGGATTATGAATATTAAATTTATTACAATAACAGTTTACGGTACAAGGCACATATTGATGACTTACAATCAGCTTGCAACACTTTTAACTAAACAGCTGCATAAATTAAGACAGGTGCATCATGTACAAGTTGGAGGGAATACTTCGTTCTGTACAGCTAAAATTCTCTTTGCTTAGAAGGCAAACGTGGTCCTGATTTACCTCATACCTTGCCTCATAAATTCCTTTTCACTGTTCAGAATAGAGGGTAGGATATACTTGTGTGATAGATAAGCGGAAGGTGAGCTGAAGAGAAGGAACTTGTTTGTTTGCCTCAAAACACTTTCAATTGCAGTGCAGCCCATTTGGTATCAATATAACTAGTTTTTGTACAAAAACTGTTTAATGTCTGTCTCCTTGTTGAGCAACCTGATAAATGCTGGCTACTCTAAATGTTTTCGGAGGGATATGTAAAAGGAAGAAAAAAGAATCAATGATAAAAATAAATGAAATCAATTTCTCAATATTTCAACCACTCAGCAAAATAGAGATACTAAAAAATGATCTTATCCTAAGAAGATGTAGAAAACTTCAAACCCGTATGCCATATAATAAAAAAAAAACAAAACTGCTTTGCCAGTTCAGCTTTTATAGAATGAAAACATGGATGCATTTTATCTTTGTATTATTCAGGAAAAGAAAAACCTTTTTAATCCACTTCTGGAGGGCTTCCTTACCCCGTCTTCCCATAAAGACCTCAGACTGGATTATCCTAGCGAGAAGAGAGGAAAGTTCTAAATCTTCTGGACTGTCTGTTTCTAAAATATTTTTCCTGTGACTTTGCGTGTCTACATTGCTTTTCATATCTTCAAATAATTTTAAAAACTTTCACCCTCTCTCAGTACATCCTTACTCAGAGTGCATTATTCTCATGTTTCAGCTGAGAAATTCAGTCTGAGAGAACTTGCCCTATTTTACACTGTGACTGTTGCAGGGCTTGTATTATATCGGGGCTTCTTGGCTGACTTTTAATCTACTAGAAGAGAGTGGCATTTCTTGGGAAGTTGCTCAGCATTCTGTGCTAAAACCACCTGGAAGTACAATGTCTGTTGTACATTAGTGTCTTAAAAAGTACAAATTAAAGATCCATCTTTTGCCATTTCAGATGTTGTTCTAAAAGATTAACATCAGCAGTATTGCACACTAAATAGCAGTGATTCCTGCAATTATTACTCTGCGAATTATTCTGTTAGAAATAATGTTCTCAGTTTCAGTTTGTTTGCAAGGGCTGAAAGAGAAACTTTGGCTTTGATGCAGATAATGCTCATATTTAACTCAACCGTTTCTGTCCCCACCTTTAACCCTTCCTAACAAAAGGCAGCAGAATGTCTATTTAAAGAGTGGGTATTTTGTGTCTATTTTGCAAGTGGTTATACGTAAATGACCAAAAATTAAAACTGTAAGTAAGTTTTGGGTTGGGTTGGGGGGTGTGGGGGGTGTGGTGTGGTTTGGTTTGGTTTAATAAGCCTAGCATGAAACAGTATCAAGTCTTGCAAAACAATCCCATTTGTGAGATTTATCTATTTAAATACTTATCCATTTAGGAGGAAACGTATCTACTGTTAGCTGAACACTGGTCTGAAGAGTGAAGAAGCTGAGTAGGGTTTTCTCCTTTATTTCCCACACTTTGGTATTGGACACATATGTGTACCTCATTCATCTTCCATTGACATTCCATATGTATTTTTTCAGTGAATGAACTCATAACAAAAATTTATTTAAAAAAAAAAAAAAATCAGTAGTTTTCTGATTGGTAATTTAATAACTAAATAACTTTCTAATATTAAAAGAATTCCCAAACTGTTCCTCTTTTCCTTACAATGAAGCCAGTTTTGGAACTAGTTTTTAAATATACTTGAGGGATAAGCTACAAAACTATTTCTTATGAGTAACTGTTCAGTAAGACAGATTTATGTTTTTCTGGTGGCAATGAAAGAACATACTCCCTTTTAAAAAATAGTTCAGGAGTCTTCTGTTTGTAGTTCCAAAAGAACAGGCCTTGTCCCTTTAAGTTATTTCCTTATTGGAAGTTGGGCTTGAGACCTAAAGTTAAGTGAGCTTGGGTCAGTAGCTGAAGTATAAGAGGCCTTCCTCCGGGAGATGTCTGCACACCGAAGGAGAAAAACCTTGGTGGAAGTGATGATAGTGTTTTCAAAAGGCAAACACAGCATCACTGCTTTCCTCTAATGTGGTTAAGTTCTTTGATGTAAACTCTTCCAGCAGGTTTCTTAATGCCTGCTGCTATGAATGCCTATATAACCTTCTTAATTTTAGCAGTACATTACCTAAGTAAACCATGAGATACAAAAGAGACTTTTATCCTCTCTCTTATTTTACTTTTGTTATAATCTATGTGGTTTTCACATAAATGATGCCTACTTAGGTTTATCTAAACTTCCATGTAACTGCAGCAGAACTATTGTCCTCCGACTTGGCAATTGCAGTCAGTCTGAAGGGCAGTTACATTTAGAGAGCATGTGTATGCATATAATATAAAGAGGTTAGTATGTGCGTGGAAGTTAATCTGTATAGCAGTGCCTCGAAATTTAATATAAATAGTTCTAATGAGAATTTTACTCTGCTCAACTTCTTGTTAAAAATAATTTCCACTCCTTTTCTTCTTCAGTGTGAAAACCAAGCGCTTTCACATATGAGCTAATAAATCTTCAAAGTAGTTTTGTATAGTTTGTTAGACGTACGTTTGTCAGCCAGCCAAAAGGATTATTCTAAACTTTAGTTCTGTACTAGGAGAGAATAGAAAAAGCCGCCAGCTCCAGCAAATTTTAGGTGTGAAATTAGATTTTTTAAAAAAGGAAGCAAAGCAGAGAAGCAGATCTTTAAGATTCCACTTTTTGGCATCGGAACTCAAAAAACTTCATTGTTGGTCTGTAGTTTCTTTGGGTGTAAGCGTGAGGTCTGTCAGGATTTTGTGAATATCTAGCTTAGTTATGAAAACAGTATAGTAAGTGCTAGCAACTTAGGTGCTTGTCAAGTAACCCGTGATGAGTTTTTGTGGCTTGATTGGGTCTAAAGGAAAGTGAAGCCTACAGCATTACAAAAATGCCTTTGTAGTATTTGTTATGCAAGAAACAATAGAAACCATAGATGTTACCATCTACAAAATGCAGGAAATGAAAAGGAGAATAATGCTATCAACTGTGTGTGTTAATGTATGCAGAGCTGTATATAGTGCTGCTCAGGATTGTTTCCTCTTCCTCTCTTTACTCCACTACAAACCTAGGGAATTTACTATTTTTTTTTTCCTAGTTTATAAAACCCTGTGTTACTTGAGTAATGTATGGCTATCAGAAATATTTTTTCATTTTTCAATGTAGTTTAAGCAATTAGAACCTTAGAAGCAAATACGACATTGCCCAGTACGAACGATCACATTGAGGAAGATACAGGAGTACTGCCACAGACTTGGGATTCTACACCTAATCCTACCCGCTGATACTCGTCCTAACATGGTTTATGCAATCACGCACACTTTCAAACAGCCCCAGTGCCCACCCATGGAGCAGTGGTATTCTCATGCACACAGACATCCTCGTGTTTCCAGAATGAATTAGTTCTCAGTCAGTTCAGTCTGGTTAGAAGTGCACAGCAGATGTCATTGAATTGCTTGGATTAATGTGCTGGAGGCATCGTGTTTCCAAATGCCCGTTGTCAGTGACACAGTCTCCACAGAAGACTCCTCTATCATTTGTCTCAGCTGGAAGTGTAATTCTTTGGGGGCGCCGGGGGAGAGTATGGGGAAAATTATATTTTATGCTCCCCTCCTTTCCCCCCAGAAAACAGGTTAGCTTATACTGCGTTCATGCGGATGTCTCCAAAAGGAATTTCTGTAGCTGTTTCTGGAGTAATGCTTTTCAGAATACGCTGTTGGAAAGAAATCGCTATTAGAAATCAATTAATTTTAGAGATAATAAATAACATGACAGCTATTTAGAAAGAGATTTATAATAAAAATACTGCTCCCGTTTGAGTTATGCTTCTTGAACCACATAAGGATGTTTCATGCTTCTGTTATCTCAGCACTATGAAGATGGGTTTTTTTAATGATTTGTAACACATAATTTGAATCAAAGTTTGACGGATGTGTTGTAGTAATGGTTTAGGACTTTGCAGTTTACTTGGATACCCTGAGCCAACTGAACATGTTCCTTCTGAACTGGTATTTAGATGAACTTAGAAGATACCCAAAAATGTCATCTCAGGCTGCCACAGATTTATGGCAGAGAAATCTTATTAAGTGTAGGAGAGAAAAAGAAGCCTGTTCTTGCAGACATACCCAAGGGAACCAGCCTTTCACTGCCTCGTTCACATGATACTGTGTCTTGTGTGATCTCTAAGAAGAGCCTCTAGTTCACCAGAGCTTAAAAAAAAAATACTTGATTTAATATTTTATATGAATATGTCAACGGCCTCAGTAAGACCTGCGGAGATTTGTGAATCGCTCAGAATGGGCAGAAGACAATTGGCCGTCAGCTGGCTAGGAACAGAACAGCAATAATCCTGAAGTCCCAGGGCATGAGACCCTAGAAAAATCTACATGTAATATTTCTAGGAATTGCCTCCTTCCTAACAGTCAAATAGAAGCAACAGAGCATCATGGATACCTCCTTAAGTGTTCCCGGAGTGATGATCAACCGATAAACCATGTAGATTGGAATGAAGATGATAGAAGAGGTCCCTATGCAATAACCCACTACTGTTGTCCAGTAGGGATAATTATAATCAAAAAGCCGTAGCTCAGGAGGGTTGGACAGAAAGCTGCAAGTGATGAACTGAAAAAGAAGAAGAGAAAAGTATGAATACATGTATTTTGATGGCACACACTTACTTTAGGGAACTGTGTCCCAGCGTAGCACTGAACTAAAAGAAAAAATGAGTGGGACTCAAGAAGGATTAAACATATGTTGACACCGAAAAAATCCTAAATGACATTAGTATGGATTTAAAAAAAAAAACAAAACAAAACAAACCCCAAACCACTTTTGAATATCTAGACTTTCCTTCAGGAAGTTTAAAAGAGCTCAGGTGCTTTAGGGTATAGCCCGACAGTAACTGAAAGGAACTAAGTAAAAATTCTCATATGGGTTGCTTATTCCATAAATACACATGGTGGTGTTTCTTGCCTAAGAAGCATTAGAGAGAAAATTCAGGACCACACTTGTACATTTAAAGGGAAAAAAGACATTAGGTGGACAAAATCAGATTGATACCAGTGTGCAGGATTTCATCCAGTTACCTTTGTATTGAGCCCTATAACTTGATTCCAGCTAAAGCATCCCTTCCAGAAAGGCATCATCTTAATTTTAAGCCACCAGAAATGGGAAGCGTACAGTTTCCTTTAGCTACTTCTCCCATATTTAATCATGATCAGCGTCAATTCTGCTTTGTCTGAATGTAACTCGCAGCCACTGCGGTGGTGTTTTATGCTGTTCTTTATTTGGTTTTAGACCCTTTAATACTTTTAAATACTGTTAAAGTACTTAGCTGTGGTAATCACATCAGCTTTCAGTTTTCTTTGTGATAAGCTATACAGATTCTATTTTTTTCACTGTTCCTTATTTTCTACACATCTTTTGTGTGATACTTTTCCATAGCATTTCGGTTCTTCAGTAGCTTTTACAAATGTTAATACTAGTTTGGATATAGTATTCTGGCATCAGCTCAAGTAATGCTGTTAGATCATTTTCCTGTGCATCCTTCATGACTAAAACAAATGTCTTGTGAAACAACAGCTACTTTTAGTTGAGTATTACAGGAATAATATTTGTGACTGTCCTTGAAAGGATCTCTGACTCCATTTTTTCCAGAGTATCGTCAGAAGATCAGGATTACCAGCAACATTTCCGTACAGAAATAACATACTGCCTTCTGGGCTTTCCTTATTTTAGTTTGGTTTCCACAGAGAATACAAATAGCTCTGCCTAGTAACCACATCACCAGAGCTGTGTTCCTCTCTATTTTACTGTTTTAGGATCACAAAAAGAACAGTAGTATAAAAATTATTTGTGGTGTCACACTTTTATTTATAGCCTTTTCTTCCCTTTTTCTAGGGGTAATAAAATGAAAATCTGTTAATTATGCATTAATCATTACATGTGTTTTGAATTCACTCTGTAGGTCTTAAATCTACATTCTGTGCTTCATAAACTCCATCTTGACCTGCTCTGCTCCCACTAAGGCTAGTAACAATAAAAGATAGAATGAACTAATTTTGGATCAGGAAATGAACACTTGATGTTAAAGTGTTATCAGTAATACTGCCAAGTTAAACATTGGGACAGTATTTCCAATTCTGAATTACAGATTTAAAAAGGTTGCAATTAACTGCTGTAAATTTTAAGTGGAATATTCTAAAGCTGTCAGTCAGCGGTTGCTGAGAGGATGTATTTACTTCCCAGACAGTATGTTTCATCATCATCTTTTATTGCTTCATTTGGCTGAGGTAAACATAAAGCAACAAAACAAAGTAACTTTGTTCAGCAGAGGGAAGGAGAGGAGTTATTCAGAACCCAGTCTTATTTAGCTAGCTCATCTACAAAAATCCTTAAAATAGTGATTTAGTAACAAGACCTTGCAGCATTGTATTGGATTCTTCACTAATTGAGCCTTTTTGATTTAACAAAAATTGTTACTAAAGAACTTCACAAGAAAATTCTGTACTTAAGATTTTAGAGGTCTAAGGAACTGCATTGTTCAATGGTAATTTTCTTGTGCTGGAAAGAAAAAGCTGGAAAGAAAGCTCACCAGAAGGAAGATGGGACTAATTGCTACCCAGCAAATTCGCCAGTACCAGCCTGGGGTAAAGCCTAGCATTTCTTTCACATCGTTGCAAAACTGGGTGATGCCTGTGGAGACAAGTGGGAGGAGAGTGGTCACAGCAGATACAAGTTTTTTCATAAGCAGAGGCACAGCATTTTGTATGCACAACAAATAAATTCAGAATCCATCATGAAAGACTGTCTTTCATGTATAACTCTTAATTATATCAAATCCTTAATTATTCTGAATTAAAGCTTTTGTTACTTCTAGATGACACTGTATTTCTGTCAGAGAACAATTAATAATAATTCTCACGGATTGGGTAATCATTGAGTTTGTAAAAAGTTTTTGTAAACTTTTTCTGGAGACATCAGTGATCTTGTCTGGAGAAACAGAGGAAATGCTACGCTGCAGAAGCTCAGGAGTTTGGGTTAGCATTGTTTGTCAGCGTGCCAGTGGACGTACCATAGAACCAGGCCACAGCAACTGCCTCCAGAAACACGACGGTTAGGACAGCTGGACCAGTGGCATATTCTTCAAACAGCTTTACCACATATGCGCCACCCTAGAAAGGAGATCGTATTATCAGTGAACCAAAGATCCAGTGACGGAAATCCTATAATACTGTTGTTTGTTACTGCCTTCATCTGGACCAGAGGAGTCACAGATGGGTATTTCAGTCAGTTCTGTTGCTTTGTGGCTCTTCCTGCCAGTGAAATCCTCAACCGTGCTGCTGATCTGCTTGCTCTCTGCGAACATATTTCACCAGTGGGGCTGCCGTGCAGAAAGGCTAAAACTGAATCTGCTGGCAGTTCTAGCTGGATTTTAATGAACAAATGGGATTTGGTGGCGGTTGATAGGATGGTTTTTTGCATGCTTTCTGTGATGGCATCTTCTGTCTCCTACGTGAGTCATAGTTACTGAACAGGAAATAAATAAGGTGTTACTTTGCTTTCTTTCCATTTGGAATCTAGAATCATGAAGGAGGAGAGCATTGTGTCTCAGGTAGGAACTAAGTCTCTTTTTACAGCAAATGATTTAAATGAGAAGGAAGTTGCACATAAACGAGCAAGTGGAGTGAAACGTGACAGGAAAGACAAGTATTTTTTCCTTGTCCCTTATGATCATTACACTCATTATTCAAAATGTTGCTTGTTGTGAAAATGAAATCCCAGAAAACCCACAGGGACAATTTGGTGTGACTGACCACAATTTCTGGCCTGATTTGATGACCAAGATCCAGGAAATTCATTGCTAGAAATTTCTAGAGAACAGCAACAGTCAATTACAGCATTTTCTAGCAGATAATTTTTTGATCGTTCTTTTTTTACTTCAAAATGCATTTCAAATATTGCACAAAACAAAATATCAATTATTTTTAAACACGGAGCTTTTGAGAACAAGAAGTAAACCACGTGCAAAGTGTGGAAGGTTGTCTGCTTACTGATTGAGCAGTTGGGACAGCAGCTGTGTCATTTATGATGTGTAGCGCATTGGAGTTTTGCTGAATTGCAATAGGATCATTTTGCAACACATTGCCTAGTGAGAAACACTGTTCACATTCATTCCAAATATAGATTTATAATCCATAAAGCAAAGAGGCTGGAGATTTAATCTGATTTCTTGAAACTGTCTTCAAAAAATACTACCCTCTCCAAGATGTCATTTGTAGGAAACTGCCAGTAAGGAAAACTGAGAAGTGGGTAAAATACTTACAAATGTCAGGGTGGCTAATGACCCCAAAAAGCAAACGATGATGAGACCAAGGACAAACAATTCCCTGCGTTTGCTCCAGACTTGCGGGAATTCATCCAGTACTCCAGTAATCACTCCCTCTAGTCCTGCAAACTGAAAAGCATGGAAAAATCACTGGAAAACAGAGGGCAGTTTTACCTGCTTTAAAGTATGGTTCAGTGCTTAAAGGAGCTGTAAAGCATTGAAACAGTGGTGCTTTATTCTCTCTGTAGAGTTGGTGTGACTTGTTTAGACAGTTTTTCTTCAGAACTTTTAAACTAAGGTGGGGATTTAGTCTTCACGTATGTAGGACGTGCCTGTCATCCAGAGGAAGTACTGTATTGCAAGTAATAGGATGCCGATAAGTGGTAGGTGGCTCAGTAGAACCAAGATTGTGAAATCAGCTGAGTTTAGCCTTCTTGGAAGGAGCTGATTCTCAATCTGTAAAAACAGGCTTACGTGGCAAGTTTTTAGAGCATCTCCTTTTTGCAGAGTTGTTGAGAAGGCCGCCTCCAGTTCTCACCTTTTAAATCCAATTGGTGTGAAAAAATTCCAGAATTTAATAATTGCTTTGTAAGTTTACAAGAGAGAAGGAGGCTGGAAGGCTGCATTCCACCAGGAGTTTATGAATCAAGTGCTTTGGTTGTGTTTCCAAGTCTGTTACTAATTGTTGCAGTATGACACTGACAAATCATTTAATTCTATTTAGGCCTATTTAGGTCAAAATTGGAGTAATAGCTGCTGTGTTACAGAAGGCACGTGGAGATGCCAATCCTGCTTTAAACCCTTTAGTGACAGCGCAATATTTGTAATTCTGTTTCTTCTGAAGTTTGCAGGGGTAAGGCCATACACCAAATCTCAGAGGTCCGCTGTCTCGCATGCTGTCTACTCACCGTGCTGTCTAATCCCAGCGTGAGTAACATCAGGAAAAAGATGATGGCAAAGAAAGTGGAAGCAGGCATGTTTGCAATGGCCTCAGCATATGTAATGAAGAGAAGGCTGGGTCCTGATAGGAGAACAGAGAATTAGGGATCATTGTTAGCTGCGAGGAGGACAGGCTGTTGCACTGTACTGTCTGGTCTTCCAGGGCAAAACTTCTCCCCCCAGGCTATTTTGTAGTGTGCAGTTACCACCACGGCTGTGAAGCTGCATGCAATATGACTTCTATATACTGTCTTTGTGGAATAATTTTTTATCCATACAGTATAACAGTGCCCTTATCATAAAGTAAGTCAGTATCCTGAATGATATACTAAATATTTTGCATAATTTGGGCTGTGCTCAATCTGGAAGATAATATACAAATATATTCTATCATCTTAGAAGCAGCTTGAGAGATGTGTACAAAAAGTTAGCCTACCAGTATCTTTGGCAACCTCTGATACATCTTCATTCCTCATCTCAGCCATGTATCCCAGCACAGTGAAAATGACAAATCCAGACACAAAACTAGTCACACAGTTCACGGTACTGGTAATCAGAGCATCTCTGCAACAGAAGACCTAACTCATGTCAGGGAATCAGCATCTGCTAGAAAGGGTAGCTTACTACCAGGTGGGGTGAATTAGTGATCTGGATAGACTCCTAGAAAAACTAGGGGAATACAGTGAAAAAAAGAAGCAGCAGATTTGAAAGAAAGAAAAAAAAAGACTACTTTTTTTTCTTCAACTTCAAACAGATGCTGTAACATTAGTCTGACACTGGACTGAATGCTGGATGTATACTGGTGTTTTAAAAAAATAAGAATTACTATAGGAATATTACTTGAGAATTTTATTTCACAAGTTATAAATAGAATTGTTTAAGATAGCAAGGAAACAACTATGAATTGCCTTTCAGCTCAAGACTTTACAGTCATTTCCTAACAGACTGCTGAGATTAAATAATTATAATGCTATTGTTTGGCAGGGGTTTACTTCATTTTGTTATGGAAGGTTTCTACATCTTCGACTCCTTGCTGTAATTGGTAGAAATTACCTCTCTTCAGGGTAGGCACAGCAGAGAAGAAATGGTTTAGATTGCAGGTTCTTTCAGTAAGGACTTTTGTGCTGTTATGGTTCTGTCTGATTTGTATGTACAAAGGTCTGACAATTCAGTGCCTTTCACCAGCACTGTGTTTATTTTTTGTACATACCCACAGTTACATTTTTTAAAACTCAATTTTATTTATAGAATAAGGTAGAACTCACTGGTAGCAGTTGTTATGGAATTTGTTGTAGCTGGCATAAGCCAATAGGACCCCAAAACCTGGACCAAGGGAGAAAAAAATCTGAGCTGCTGCATCCACCCAAACCTGAAAAATATTGAAGATCAAGAAGAGATTACATGAAACAGATTGAATGGGTTTGGCATATTCAGAATATCACTTAGGCCTACAAAACTGTGCTTCACTAGTTTGCCTATATCCTAGTCCTGGTCTAACAAACATTTTGTAAGAGAGCATGTTGAAATATGAATATTGATTGTAGATCTGTGACAGTTTTAAACATCCATTATCATTTTAGTGCCTATGCAGTGCTTATTGTATCTCTTTACACTGTTGTATGTACTCACTGGCAGTTTCACTTCTGACAGCATCTTAGATTAATTGATAGTGATTTGCCTGTAATCAGTTTAACACAAGTTTTGCAATGCGTAGGGAACTTTCTGTCCATGATTTTGCAGTGGGCTTGGCCCATTTTCCTCCAAACTCTGTGCGCTGTGGAATAGTCCTATGTTTGGCTGTGTGTCCTCCAGGCTAAGTAGTAGATGATCACTACCCAGATTTTTCCTAGATTTATGGAAATACATTTGACAGCATGGATGCAATTCTAGTCCTTAGGACTCAGTTTGGCTTTGTTGTAGCCATGACAGATGCAAGTTTGATGATCTTGTTATGAAAAGCCTGTTGTACTTGAAATGTGGCCACAGCCTTAATGAGTAGTGTTCTAAAGTACAATATCAGTTCGCTTTCTGAAGGTGAAAGTCCTCATTCATTTATCCTCTTTTGATTGAAACATGGAGTTCATTACAACTCATTTCTAATATTCTCTTCCATCGTGTGAGGCCATCCTGTATCATCCACAGACAGAGCTCTGTCATCGTCCAGCACACAGATTGCGATCTGCTGTCCTCACTTCAGATACATCCAATACAATATCAATGCCCTTTATTGTTTTTTCAGAAGATGTGGGCCCTTATTGAAGATGCTGCTTTATCAGAGACTGGTGTCTTTTCATTTCCTTTTAATTCAAAACTCTCCGTATCAGCTGGGCAGCAGCAGACTTGCAAACATTAGAATTTTTAATCTTCGTATGTGTAGTATTTATTGCTTTGGGGTTTTTCCATCACCCTCCTCACTAGACACTTTCATAGGCAGTGAAGTAAGTGCAGCCTTGAGCCTGACATGTCATCCACAGAGTTCAGAGCTGAATCAGATACTGGAATGCCTGGGGTTTGTTGGTTAGCTCAGTCTTGTCCTCATTCCTCCTTTCTCTTCAAATCTTGGTGGTGTATGCAGGCCCAACTGATTTATTCCTTCTCCACATGCACTTGCATGCATTACTGACTCAGGTTTTAGTTGGTGGCTACAGACAGTCTCCTTGGGCTTATCTGCCAAGGCTTGCCACAGGACGGAGATCTGAAGTTTCACCTCTAGTAACCTGCACTATTTAAATATGGGCAACTGTGGACACCGCTGGGCTGTGGAAAAGCCTGCCCAAGTGCGTCATGATCCCCTCACAGCCAACAAAACTGCAGCTAGACCAGTTGTTAGGGCTTAGTGAATTTAATTTGCTCAGTATGACTGTCATAGGCAAAGGATTTTTTTGCTGCAGCGTAGCAGCAATCGTAGCTTCTAGCTCAATGTCAGGCTGTTCACCATTTTCCTGGCGAAAAATTGTTTGGTCACTTGTTTTCTTTCTAATGGTATCACAAATTCTATTCAATCACTGTATGGGAACTCTACTATTAGTTCAAGTTAAATTGATGGTGAACTCTAAAAAAGTCTTTATAATGATGGGAAGAATAGCATGACTGTTTAAAGAGCATGAAGCCAGGCTTTTAAGTCCATGTTATGACATCTGTTTAATCATGCTCTAAGCTGAAAATAGACATTAAAGTATATACATGCTGATAGGCTAAAAGCAAATCTCTACCCTTTTATAATGTTTTTTACCTCAGTGGCCAGGAGTTTCTGCCAGTCAGGTTTCAAGTAGTAGAGGACACCTCTCCAAGCCCCAGGCAAAGTTGCACCTCTCACTAACAGGATAAAGAGTATGATGTAAGGGAATGTGGCAGTCACCCATACCACCTGTGAGGGAAAACAGTAAGGTAGCATTTGCCATGGGTAGAAAGTTAACAGGTGATAATAAGAATGAGTCATTACAGCTCTTAGCATTTGTAACATCTTCATGTGAACATCTCAGAAGGTCTGTAAACAGGCAATTTGCACATCTATACCCACACTTTCTCTTGGCAGTCACTCTACAGTAAGTGCTTCCCAAATACATCAGCCTATAATCCCTGACATGAAGACCATCTGAGATAATTCTGTGTGAAGTTAATTGGCTCATTTAGAACTGCTGCTAGAATATACTGTACCACGTTGATTTGTCTTGTTTTTGCATTCACCTTGCCAGATGTTTTGACCCCTTTCCAGATGCTGAAGTATACAATGGTGAAGATTAACAATAAACAGAGGGTCAATTGCCAACTAATGCCCCCCAGGTCATCCAGCCCATTGGACCTGTGCACCTGTAGAACTTGGCGGCTGAAAGAGGAAAGAAAAACACAGTATAGATTTTTTTTTTTAATAAATGCTTATGTTAAGTGTGCTTTGAACAGCCCCATACTGTGGTCTGAGTGTTACAGGTAGCCCTGAGGCCTTGAAAAGTAGCCTTTAGAGACATGTCATTTTGGATTTATTTTTTTTTAATTATAAGTTTGATATTAATGGTACACCAGTGATGATAAATGATAAGTGATGACAGCTGACAGTGGTTGGGAGCCTCTGATCTGAAATACAGAGTACCCTCCCATACAGCCTAAGCTTACATACACCTGCAAGTATTCAGTTATTTGAATAGTTCAGAAAAGGGTACCATTAATAAAGAGCCCTGCTCCCCCTCCAAAGCAAAGCTTGCTACGTGTTCCACCATTCTGTCTAATATTACTGTCCTCACTTACATGCACTTACGTATAAAATTCTTCTGCGGGAGAGATGGAGTGCAGGGACCAGCTGACATTGTCCTTGCTGAAGTAGTTGGTGCAGTTGCCTGTGTTCCAGGCGTTTGTGCAGCTGGTCCATGGCAGCTCCGCCGTGAAGGAGGATACGAGGTAGTAAAAGGCCCAAGCCATAATGGTGTTGTAGTAGGAGGCTACGTAAAGATCTATTATACAGATGGCAAAGCCAATTCCTAGTAAGGCAGGAAATAATTACATGAAGTGAGTGTAAGTTTTAGGCCAAAAAAAAAAAAGGAAGGAATTGGTTATCACATGAACTACAATTAGTAATTGTCTAAAGCAGCTCTGCAGGAGGTACACATACCCTCTCAAGTGTTTACAACACTGGAGTTTCTTGTGGCTTCGGAAACACTCGGGCTCCGATTCCAAAAAAGCATCCTTAATCAAGACAGAACATGCTTATATAGTTTTTTTCATCTGTTCCTAAATTCCTGGAATTTAGAAATAGGCATCTTGCACTCTCAGTAAATAAAAAAGACAAGAGCAGAGCTATAACATGGAGCAAGAGTAAACCAGCATATAGAACAGGTCCTTTTACTCTAGAAGACTTTGTGGTAGGATAACAATTGACAGACCCGGCTGCAGATGGGGAAAATTTCTTTGTAGTATCTTCGTAATAGAAATAGTAGGTCTTTATTCTTTCCCGGTTTGAATTTTGCCTTGGATTCAGTAATGTTGTACTTACGTTATTGATTACTTTTTTTTTTTTTTTAATATATTCAGGCTTGGGTCAGAGAAAGTAGACTGGACTCTATCTAATCTATTTAAGCGGTGCATGTCATACATGTATATCAGAGTACACACATACATCTGCAGGTGTACATAAAGTTTTATGAAAGCTTTCTTTGAAAAGCCAAAATCTTGCATAAAACAAGCCTTACTCTGTGTCATGGTTAGCCCCATATTAGCTACTATGAAGAAAATTAACTCTACCACAGTCAAAACCAGCACACTTTGGTTTATGAGATTTTCATTTTTTTTTTTCAGAAATTTCACCTTATAGGAAAATCTTCCAGTTATTCCAAAAGTTCCTAGTAATTCTCCATTTCCCTTCTTTACCTTTGAATATAGGACATATTTTCCTCCAAATTGAAATACACCCGTTCCTGTGGTACTGTCCTAGTGCTAGTTCCATATAGAAGAGAGGAATCCCTCCAAAGATGGCCATAATTGTGTAAGGAATGAGGAATGCTCCTGCAAGAAAGAAAGCAGATGCTTGTAACTCTTCATAGGACTTCTCTTCCAACAGTACCAGCACTCCATAAACAAGAGTTCCTTTTATCCCACAGGGAAAACTCAGATCCTCTCCCTAGCCAGTGTGCCACACTGAATTACTATGGGATTTCTCGTAAGAGTAACTACTTAGCAGTGTGACTAAGAAGCAAGACTCAGGCCAAACTTCTTACCTTTCTGTAACAAGTATAGGTAGGATTTACCAAGACTGTACTGGCTACAATGGATACAATTGTGAGATGAGCTACAGATAAAATAATTAATTACTTCAGTAAAATGCCTTTGTTACATGAGGGAGACAAAAGTCCTTTCCAAGATCTCCTTGATTAGATTTCTGTTTTGGCTGGTACATCAGTAAGTCTAAGACCTAGTGTTCCTGATGCGTTGGTTTTGACATGTTGGTTTGTCTGATTTTAAAATACTCCTTGGGACAGGGATTGAGTCTGTTCTCCTGGAAGGTGGTTCTGCACCTATCTGACTCTCGGCTTCTAGTCGTCCTGATTATTTAGACCTTGCTAAATAGTTTTTCTTCCATCTTAGTGTGTCTAGTTATCCTATCCCAGTATTTCAGTTTTCCAGTCTTGAAAAGTAACTAATTTCCCCTTGGTCATTTGTTATATATGATATTAAAAGAAGCCTCTAAATCATCCATTTATAAGCAAGGACGTTCAGCATTAAGAAACAGCATACGGAGCTAGTCACTGACCTCCTCCATTTTGATAGCATATATAAGGAAATCTCCATACGTTTCCCAGATCCACCGCGTATCCAATGACAGAGAGTAGAAAGTCAATTTTTTTACTCCATGTCTCTCTGTCTTCTAGCTCCATCAGCTGCTGCTGGCCTTCTGCTCCGCAGGTGGTAGAAGTGGTGGTTGTAGTGGTGGTGGTGGCTGCCGGGGCAGTGCACTGGGCATCTTCCACCTCTCCCATTCCATTGCAGGGAACGGAGCTCTGAACCCCTGAATAACCGTTTGAGATCTGAGCTGCCTCCCCTTTATCTCCCTGGCTGGGATGGACTTTATTGCCATCCTCCACAAGCCGTAGGGCAGATTTAGGGTTCCTGACCAGAAGTCTGTTCTCTTTACAATCTTCTCCTTCGTTACAGTCTGAGACATCTTTCTTGGCAGTCAGCGGCTCAGTCTCATTGCTTATTGCCTTTTTTTCCATTTTTTCTGAGATTTGTCGTGATCACTTGCAGATGGACAGGAGCACAGAGTCCCCTTGTGGCTTGTCTTCCCACACGTTTATTCCCAGGATATTCCCAGGACTTTTAGAATTCCTCTTCCATATTTAAATCCATCAGATTGAAGACAAAACACCATCTAAGAAATGAGAAATAGTTAAAAATCCATTACAGGGCTTACTGATGCTGGTAACTGTCAAGTTACAACTGACAGATTCTGTGATTAAAACATTTTTTGGAAGTAATTAACCATCACAGCATGCAATGTGAATCATTCAGCAGGTAATCCTTTCAGGGTTTTGTACAGAGGAAGGAAGGAAGAAATCATCCTTTTCTACAGCAGAAGTCGGTGTACCTGGTTTATAACCTCTTGGGCAGATTTGCTGGACTTTGTGCATTCTTGGACAATTCAGAGGCAGTCACAGTCCTGCTATCTTTTGATACCACGTTCCCCCTCTGAACATTGTTTTCACACCCAGGGAGGTTGTGGGACTCCCAGTTTGCAAAAATGAGGGCAGACTTTAGTGTGGCTTGTATTTTCATTGTCATAACTTCATCCTGTGACTTCTGCTAGCAGTTTCTAGATTCACCCGGTATGAAGGGAAAATAATTAAACAAATATGAGATAACAGTGGATATACAAATCACATTTCATGACCACCTTTCTTCAGAAATCCCACAATGTCTGCTATGTTTAGCAGCAGACTTAGAAGGCTTAAATGAAAGTTTAGAAAAGTGTTTAAATCTCAGTGCTTTTGCATCAACTAACTTGAGGCTCTAATAACAAGGAAAAAAAGATCAGGAAACTTCAGTTTGGTTGTTTGAAGTAAGAACTAACACGTGGGTCTAAAGGACAAAACTTGTCCCCAGTTTTATCTAACTCCTTGGGGAAATAAAGGCATCTTTCATTCTGTTTGGATCTGCTAACGGTGTGGTTCCAGCCCCGGGAAGGGTAGTGGGCACTACTCCTGTGCTGCTCTCTGCCACCAACAAAAAAACAGGCACTGGGAGAATCCCTGGCTTTACCTACCCTCTTCATATGTGCTAGAAGCATAATCCAGGGGAGATAAACCATCCCAAAATAAAGAAAAAAGTCTAAAACAATTAACTTTTCCTTCAGAACAAAAAGAACCGAAAAATATTTGTGATTCAGTGGGTCATGTTTTGTTTTCTGCTCATTTGTTCAGGTAATGTAAATGCCCCTCAGCCTTTACTCAATGAAATCTTGAAATAGGAGCTGATCCTCTCGTGCTGTAAATTCCCTGGAGTAGTGACCTCGCTTTATAGCTAACAAAGTGTTACACAATCTACATTATGCCACCACAGATTCAATTATTATAATTACATCTAATTTTTCCTTTTCAAAGCATTTTACCACAGTAAATATCATTGTCACATCCTAGCAGAAGAATAAGCATTATTTCACTTTTAACTGTTGGAATAACCAAAGCAGAGAGGGGCTGTTATTTGCTCCTTGCTAGAAGTTGCTCATTGCCAGAGCTATTAAAACTCAAGTGTTTCCCAGCTTTCAGCCTTGTGCAAAATTTGTCAAACCTCTTCCTAACCATTTATCAGTGCAAGCAGAAAGAGAAGGAAAGTTTATCGAGCTACAGAGCAAACAGGACGATGTTCTCGAGATAAAAGTCTCTTGAAGGTGTTGTTTATAACTTTCGTAAATCTCTAGTTCTTCAGGCTTACATTCTGTCTTTACCCAGATAATGTTCATTTCATCATATAGCAAGCAGTAAGAATTCAGCATTAATGATGCACAAGAGCAGTACTTTGCTACCATTAGTTAATCATCCACAAAGACTGAAACATCTTCAGAGTTTGTACTACGGCAAAGAACAGGAGTTTCTGTTTTACCTGCAAGACTATAAAACCTGAATGTCTTTGGAGTCCGAAAGCTTCCAAATGTCCCAAAAGAGCTTATATAGATGAAAACAGTCCTACCACCAGTGGTGGCAACATAAAAATCCTAGGAAAGGCCACAGCCAATCCTCCCCTTGTATGAGCATGTTGATGTAAGGTAGGAATATGGAAAAGTAACCTGAGCCCTTCTGGACTTTACACCTCTTACTCATAAATGGGAAAGCCGTAAAGGATGTTGATTTAACCACATTATCTCATGAGACTGAATTTTCCATACCTGAGACTTACTGTATTTTTAAAACACTTTATTTCTGCACATAGATACTTCTCAGCGCTTTCTTTACTGAGGAGAGGTCGTTGAATGTATTGTTGATTGCCCAGATCTGTGGCAATCACGATAGTGTCTTATCCAGATCTAAACTCCTTCTGGTCTTCTGCAGACCACAGGAAAGAAATATCACATTATTTGAAATAGTTTTCTAGAATGTTTAGTAGTTAGAGTCTCAAACATGCAAAATGATGTGTGAACTTCAGGGGCTTCAGCTGGAATTTGAACTATTCCTTTCTGAAAGAGAATTACGGCTTGTTAGCTACCCTGGGAGTGACGGACTCTACAGCTATGCAGTGGTGTTTGCAGTGGATAGTTGGCACGTGAAAACAGAACAGTTACAGAATCAGAAGATTTCACTACGCTGTAAAAAAACGTGGGAGAATGTACTTTACCCCTTTCTTGTTACAATTCAAGGAAAAAAATATCTGGAGGAATTGTAACTGCCACAAACAGTGTAAACAGCTGCAGAACTAGAGCTCTTGGGGTTGGGAAGCTATCCAGGGGAAAATGATGCTAATATTGAAGGATTTTGCCCACCTCAGCCTGCCCTTCACCTCTGTGCAACAATCTCTCAGTAGTTACAGGTGCTAGAATGATGATAGTAAATAACAGAAGAAATGGCAGTTTATTACCTATTTTCAATCTGAGCAGTTGCAAAGGTTGCTCTTACATAAATGCACATTGGTGTCTTATCACCAACATAATTAGCTACAGAAGAAAAAGAAAAAATAAAAAAGAAATATAGCTGTGCTTTCATTTCCTTTTGACCTGTGTTTTGTAGACATGACTTTGCTCCTTTGAGAGGCCCTAAGCATCCGTACCTTTTCTCTCTCCGGTAGCTCTGAACGGCAATTATTCTAAAAGGGCAGTTTTCATCTCTGTAATGCTGTACTATCCGGGAGCATGTGAAAGGTGCCACGCTGCCAGCCCTGTAAATGGTACCCCCCCTGGTACCCCTCCTCACGCAAGGAGTGCCTCCAGAGGAGTGACCCTCAGCTCTGCTCCAGAGAAGCACCCTGTAACAAGCAGCGTGTCCTCCACAGCTATTCCCTGCTTTGCTTGTTTGTTGAAAACACTAGGATGGATAATTGAAGACAGATGTTTCTACGAGCTTGGCTGAAGCCACCAACGCAGTTCACATCAGCCAAATATTAATTAAGTTATAATTTTTGATTACTCCCACACAGAGCTAAACTTGACCCAGCACTGTAGATGTAAAAGCCCTTTACGTCCCTTGATGCACAAAACCAACTCCTTTGCTTCTATCGAAGCAATCCTCAAGGAGCATCCCTGTCCAGGGGTCCGCTTTCTTCCCAAGCGTGGAGCTGCACAGCTGAAATACCATCGCCCCGTTTATTTTTTAAGGCATGCAGTGACCTCTCGTAGCAGTGTGGGAATCCCTTTCCTTTAATGCTCTGGCATGTAATGAAATGAATCTTTACAGCACTTTAAAACAAAATTATTTTCCTGTTCTCTGTATTTTTTTTTAAAGGAGCAAATTGACTTTTAATGTGTCTAGGAGATTAAGACAATTAGGTTGAGGTACAGCAAATACTAGATGCTTCAAGGGAGGCAAATCTTAATGCCTGAAGTCACCTGGAGAATACTTTATTTGAGGTGGGGCAGCACTGACTTCCTGAATTCCGCAGCACAAGGCTTGTTCAGCCTCACCGCACATGACTACAGGAGTCATTACTCATCTCCAAATGATCAAATAATTTTAACTCGCACAGTTGCCAAATTTTTATATTTGCATGTATTTCACTTCATACAAATTATGTTCTTTTTTCACATGCTAATTTTATAAAGCAATGCTTGCTGGCATACCAGCAAGCTGTACTCACTGGGTTACAGCTGCACTCCTGTAGCAAAGCTCTGGTTACCACCATCCCTCACACTGCTCCTCCATCTGCCTTACTTCGGTCCGTTTACATGCTAGCAGTTGCAAAGAATCATGAGTACTTTGAACTCTAAGACAAAAAGTTAGCCTACAGCGTTGGCAAACAGAATCAAATATTAAGATGATTTCTGTTAACTTGACCTAAATCTCACTTTTAGCACAAAGTATTTAAGATTGTTAAAATTATGTAGCTGCTTGACTGCATATTACACCTTGCAATAAAAATGCAGTTCACGCAGGCCATTGTATGTAAATGGAAAGAGTCCAAGGTAATCACTTTTATTTAGAAAATCAAGCAAGGTGTTTGTATGACAAGACAGAAACCACGTATCCCACACAGGAGAAGGCCGTGTTGTTTATCTGTAGGTACCGTTCTCACCTCTGAGTCACAATATCAACCATAACCTCCAACAGCCACGTACCTGGGAGTTTCCAGGTACTGGACTCCAATAAATATAGCAGTAAACATTTCTGGTCTTCACCCATATCTCCTCATACAGCCCGAATCTGTCTTTTTGCACAGGAGGGGAGGTACATGACCTAGATGACAGTGAGAACCTTGTAAAGATTATTCCTTTTGCCAGGCTTTTATGGGCTAGTGTGTTCCTGGTTTGCTGCATGTGTGGTGTGAAGGAGTATAGAGGCTTCTTATTTCTCCTCTGATTTTGCACAGGCCAAGAGTAACCCTTTAATCGAAGTTATTACAGGATAGCTCAGATGGTCCCGTACTGCAAGGAGTTGTTAGAAAATAAAACCTTCAGCCAATTAAATCTTGAAACTAGACTGCACTAGATTATGCTGAATTTTACCTGCTGTTTGTAATACATGAGTCATATTTAGAGTTCATAACACAAAAAATTAATTCCTTTCGCTTTTGACTGGGTTTACATATACT